GAGGGGTTGGGGGGTGGGGGCAGGGTTTCCTTGGGGACGGGGACGCGCAGGCGCCTGGGATGTGGGAGAGCTGGGTGTGTAGGCATCTGAGCTTGGGCAGAAGGTGGGATGGGCAGGCAGTGGAGCAGGCGGTTGGAGGGTTTCGGGCCTGGGCAGGGCCTCACCCAGGGTCTCCATGACGACGCGAGGAATCACCTCCTTCAGGACCTCGCAGTTGGTGTGCAGGGCGGGGTTGGAGTTCATCTCTAGCAGCCACACCTGGGCCCAACATGGGTCAGCATCCTGCCCCAGCTGCCACTTGGCCTGCGGGAGCCTGAGGCCCTGGCCCCTGGTAAGCAGGTGACCGGGGACAGGTGGCCTCACTCCCCGTATTTGCCCAAGGGGCTGAGACTCTAAGGATCTGGCCTTGGAGGCTGCCCCGCTGCAGGGGGAGCGAAACCTGATGGAACCCCCCACCTCCACCCCGTGGGGCTTGGGGAGGTCGGACTGCAGGGTCCACCCCAGGGCCTGTCTGGTGGTCAGGCTGGGCATAGATGCCCCCGTGCCCTGCACCTGCCCGCCAGGCCCCACTGCCCTGGGATGCCCCACGGCACCTTGAAGTTGTCATCGATCAAGAAGTCACAGCCAATGAGGTCGAAGTAGCCCAGCTTGCACTCGAGCTTGGACTTGACAGCCAGGAAGCAGTGGGCCATGATCTGCTGCATCTGCTTCTGTGGGCGGGGCAGGCAGGGCGACCGGCGGTCACTGTCGGCACTGACGACACTCCAGGCCCCACAGCCATGACCATACCCCCTCGCCTGCAGTCCTAATGGGGCCTCAGCTGAAAGTCCACCTGTGCCCTCACCTGTGCCCTCACCTGCAGAGCCACCCCTGCCTGCCCACATGTTCACACTCTTACAGCCGGAAACTCAGTCACTCTCGTTTTATTCATTCAGCAGACGTGTGGCGCTCTGGCCATGTGGCGGGTGCGGGTACAGGAGTGTCTGCCCCTGGACAGTCCCTCACGGCAGGAGAGACAACACATGTGACCCGTAGACCATCGTACGCTTGGCACAGGAGGTTGAGCAATCAATGCGGATGGAGAAAATGCAGCTAAGAGAGTGGAGCTGAGTTCTGGGGTGGCTTTTTGTGGGGGTTAATCCTCACCCGGGGGTATTTCCCAGTGATGTTTAGGGAGAGTGGGAGAGCGAGGGAATGGCAGAGAGAAACATCGATGTGATTGGTTGCCTCCTGCACGAGCCCTGACCAGGGCCCGGGCCAGGGAGGAGCCGCAACCAAGGCATGTGCCCTTGACCGGAATCGAACCCGGGACCCTTTGGTCTGCAGGCCGACGCTCTACCCACTGAGCCAATCCCTCTAGGGCGGGTGGGGGTGTGTGGCTTTTGTGGTGTAAAAGGAGGTGTGGTCTGGGGGCCTTCTGGAGGAGATAGTGGCCAGGACTGAAGACTGAAGACGGGAAGGAGGTGCTGTGGGGGTGGGGCGGGGGGTGCAGGAGACCCGGTGGCAGCCGTACCCCATGGGGGCCTGGGAAGGACATTGACTTTCCCCTCAGATCAGAGCTGCTGGGGGTGGAGCCGAGGAGGGGCACCTGTGGCCCAGGCCCTCCCAGGGCCCTCCCCCTGCTGTGCCCAGAGAGACTGAGGGGCTAGAGGTGGTGGGACAGGTTCTGAATATATTTTGAGGGAGAGCCCGGCCAAGGACGTGTGAGCTGTGAAAAACGGGGAGAAGGGTTATCCCTGGGAGGACGGAGCCCCCATCAACTGAGCAGGGGCCGGGGGACCATGGCGGCGGGGGGCGGGGGGTGTCCATGAGCTGCAGACCCAGTGCTGACGGACCTGGAGGGGAGGCTCAGGTTCAGGACAGAGGTGAGGCCGGATGGTGAGACGGGACCCGGCTTACAGGCGGGATCTGAAGCTGGAGCCTCAACACCAGTGGGTGTAGGTAAAGGGCAGGGTGTCTGCTGAGCCCTGGGCCTCCAGGGAGCAGAGGCTGGGAGGCGAGGGGCCAGGCGGAGGGGACAAGGCCCTGGAGCCACGGAAAGGCGCAGGGAGTGAGCCGCTCTGTCGGAAGGGCTGGGATCTGACCCCTGGGTTTGGCAACGCGAAGGTCACCGTGACCTTGAGGAGTGTTTCAAGGGGCACAACAGGGAGACGCCTCACTGGAGTGGGATCAAGAGACAAGAACGTGAGTGAAAATCCCAGAGGCAGGACATCTGAGAACAGGCCACTCCATAAACGCAGCACCTGCCCCCTCTCCCCCCGAAAAACAACAATAAGAAACCAACCCGGCAAAATGGTCAGAATGCACTTTGTCAGAAAGGCTGGCAGCAACCTGAGGAGCCAAGTCTGGCATTCTGGTGACTGAGCTTCGTGCACTTCGGGTCCTGGTCAGATTTACCCCCTCCCCGCTCCGCGCAGCCTCTAGAAAAGCCAGCACCTCAGCAGGAGAGAGCAGGCTGGGCCTGGCTGGCCAAGAGCTGTAGCTATTGGTTGTGTCCGGTCTGGGGCCCCCTGGGTGACCTCACTTGGAAAGAATGCTAGGAACGTGTGAGACTAGAGACTATCAAGGAAGAGACAGAAAGTGTCAAAGGGACCCTAGTGTAAATTCTGGAGGCAAAAAGTTTAACGACTGACATTTACAATCCACAGAGGGGCTTAGCAGTAGATATGGGTTGTCCGAAGTGAGGTCCATGAGGTGATCCAGTGTGAGGGACCTAGCCAGTTTAGCTCAATGGATAGAGCGTCAGCCTGCGGACTGAAGGGTCCCGGGTTCGATTCCGGTCAAGGGCACATGCCTGGGTTGCAGGCTCGATCCCCAGTGTCGGGGGTGCAGGAGGCAGCCGGCCAATGATTCTCTCTCATCATTGATGTTTCTATCTCTCTCTCCCTCTCCCTTCCTCTTTGAAATCAATACAGATCTTTAAAATATATATAGGGGGCGGGCTGGAGGGGGTCAATGAGGGGAAAAGGGGGACATATGTAACACTTTCAACAATAAAGAATTATTTAAATATATACATGGCAAAAGAAATTACTCTAGAAATGCTACATTACAAAATATAGGGTGTCCCAAAAGTATTTTTTACGGACACACTGAATAATTATTAAGGTGGTGTTTATTAGAATACAATCCAGTTTCAAAATTGAGCTATCAGCTGTTAAAGTGTGTATACATTTTTGGGGGACACCCTATACATACCCGTGTCACACAGAAGAATTGAAAAGCAAAAAAGATACAGAGCAAATAGCAGGTGTAAACCCCACCTTCACAGTAACTATGCTGAATGTAAGTCACGCTTTCCAAATAAAAGACAGGCTGGCCAAACGCAGAAAAGCCCCTTCAGATACACTGTCTGTGAGACTTCGCATCAAAGACACAGAGAGGTTGGAAGTAAAAAGGTGGGAAAAGAGATGTCATAGCAGCAGCAGCCAAAAGGAGCTGGAGTGACTATTCTAACAGCAAGCTGATTTTAAGAGAAAAATTGAGGATAGTAAGGGAAAAAGTACATTTTATAATGACACATCAAGAGCCTCAGAACACATACGGCAAAAGCCAGTAGCATTGCAGGGACACAGACAATTCAACAGCAACAGGTGGAGACCTCAATACCCCACTTCCCGGGGTGGACAGGCATGTGGACAAGATCGACAAGTACAGAGAAGCCTTGACAACAATATAAATCGAGACCTAACAGACATCTGCGGAACCTCCGCCCGAGAGCAGGCACATGCTTCTCAGGTGCCCACGGAACGTCGCCCAGGACAGACATTGTTAGGACACAAAACAAGTTCCGGTAATTGTTTAAAGGGCTGGAGTCATACCAAGTATGTCCTTCGCCTGGCCCGAGTGGCTCAGTGGTTGACGATCCACCTATGAGCCAAGAGGTCACGGTTCCATTCCCTGTCAGGGCACATGCTCGGGTTTCCAACTCGATCCCCAGTAGGGGGCGTGCAGGAGGCACGGATCGATGATTCTCACCATTGATGTTTCTCTCTCTCTCTCTCTCTCTCTCTCCCCCTTCCTCTCTGAAATATTTATTTCTTTAAACTTGTAAAAGAAAACATACGTATAAATCTTTGCAAGCTTGGACTTGGCAATGGACTCTTAGATATGACCTCAAAGGCATGAATGACCAAAGACGGATCAATTGCGCTTCATTCCACATCTAAAACTTTTGTCCAGAAAAGGACGTCATTAAGAAAGTGAAAAAAGGACTCAGAACAGGAGAACACGGCTGCAGGTCACACGTCTGATAAGGTTCAGCATCCGGAGCGTGAAGAGCTGAACAAGGAAGGACAGAGGGTCGGAACAGAAAGTTTTCTCAAGCAGATGCCAGACGGCCAGCAAACCCACGGAAAGAGATTCAGCATCATGATCATTAGTGCAACGCAGATCAGACCCACGAGATACCGCGTCACTAACACTTTTCTTTCTTTTTTAAAAAGGGAGCGTGTTGGCGAGGCTGTGGAGGTGGGAACGTGAGCTATTGCGAGGGGGGGAGAGCCTGAGATGCCTCCGGAGACACGCTCCTTCGTACAGACGCGCCCCCGCCCCCTCCAGTACTGAGGGGACACTGCCCACCCGCACATCCCTACGTGGTCATGACCCTTCCCCCCCATGGGGTGGGGCGAGGCGCTCACGGACCGTGAAGGTGGTGAAGACCCAGTCGCGGGGGAGGCCCTTGGTCTTGCTGAACTTGTCGTTGATGTGCCGGTTGAGCTGCTCCATGCTCCACACCGTGTTCTCCTTCAGGAGCACGTACAGGGGGCTCTTCTTCTGCATGAACTGGGGGGAAGGGTGTGGCGCCTGGAGGCCATCTCCCCGGAGCCCCCAGAGGCCCTGCCCCCCTGGACATCCGGCGGCAACCTGGGGGCCGAGACCCTCCCCAACACCTTCTTCCATGGAGACCTCCTCGGCCCCCAAGTCCCCACTGATCCTCACGGAGGGCTCAGCCTCGACTCCCCGTTGCAACCCTTCCACGGAGACCTCTGGCCTCTCCTTGAGGTCTTCACAGAGACCCCCTCCCCGGCTCCTGCCCCCTCGACACCTCCCCTGCGCCCAGCGGGAGCCACGCTGCAGTGGGTGGGTGCAGGGCTCTCGGTCACGTCACCAGGTGCCCTGCAGTGGCCGAAGATGAGAGGCGATGCCAACAGCAGGCAGGGCCCGCCTAGGCCCCCTCGGGGCTGGACAGCTCTGGGTCTGAGCAGGTCTGCACTGGCCTCTCCTCTCTGCTTCTGAGCCGTGATCTCGTCCCAGGGCTGCCGGGGGGACCCTCACCTGGTTGGTCAGGTGGCCACTGAGGTCTGGGGACTCGGGGTCGTAAAGGCTGAGGGTGAGGCGGGCGTAGCCGTGGCCGAAGAAGACCATGTAGGGCATGGCGCAGGCGATGAGCAGGTAGGAGCGCACGTCGAACTTCTTCCCGTCCAGCAGCAGCGGGTTCTCGATGTACCTGGGGGGCAGGTGCGGGCTGAGCACAGGGCCAGCCTGGACCTGTCCCTCAGGACCCCACCGCCTGGCCCGGGGCGGCCTGTGGGCCCCCTCCCCTGGCTGAGTGCCTGGCGGTCGGTACAGCTTGGAGGCTCCCTGGATCTCCGCCCTCTGGGTGTCTGGGTGCTCAGGCTGCAGCTCTCAGGAGGAGCCTGGCGGGTGGGAGCAGACCAGGCCCCTGGGCAGGGAGGACCGCCTGGAGGAGGAGGGAGGGCTGACACTGGGCCATGAAGGGTGAGTGGACTGGAGAGGCGGGAGGGGCACCCCAGGTGGAGGGACCTGCAGAGCTAAAGCGCCTGGGACGGCCACTGGGAGAGGAGGTGGCGGACAGCGGCCGAGACAGGGCTGGGGGAGTTCCAGGGACCTTCGAGGTGAGACTGTGCCGCCCAGCCTGAGCCTGGGGTCTGGACCCCGTCCAGCAGCAGGGGGACAGAGGGTGGGACAGGCAGCTCTGGCTGCCGGCCTGAGGCTGTGGCTGCCCCGCGGGCTTCCTGCAGGACCGAGGGGCGGGGCCCAGGCCGGAG